AATAAGTACCTAAGCTATGTTTATGACATTGAATTTGATTAGTTGGAAACTACCATATTGTTTTCAAAAAACTTTATTATTTGCAATTAATTTCTTCTCAAAAGCAAACAGTTTTTCGCTTGGTCAGCAACGCACTCGTAGCCGTATCATGTTACACTCGTGTTTCTAGGCGCTCTTAGATTTCAAAATACTTGTCGTGTCCACTTTGACTACAGTAATCGCATCATTAATACTAGGCGACATGTAAGCCTTTTTTGCCACTCATTGCAGTAAAAAAACATATTTGACCTCATTACCGAAGTGTTTAGAAGAAGGATAAATCGGGAGCACACGAAGCGGTTCGCCTCCAGTTTTATATTCCAAAGCACTAAGGAATGGAGTTCTTTGACGGAGTCTTTGTTGCCCGAAGGGTTATAACCTAGTTGTCATTAAGGCCCAAGTGAATAGATTGCTTACGAGTAAGTGTGCTTCATCGTAGGTCGCATTACCGTTTACTATCAGGCGTGATAGCGGCCAAATGTCTGCCCATTTTAAAAACAGAAAAAAATGATCCCCAAAATCTCGCGATTATAATCAATTGGTGCCACCCAAAGACACTACTACATCGCCAAAGACATTGCCGGCCTTTAGGTAGATTTTTTGCACTGAAGGACTCCTTCGCCTCATTCCCACAAACAGAAAAAGAACGGGTTCCCCTGAAAAAATATGAAATTACCTGTCATTTTAATCTTTGTAAAGATTCGATTACATATAATATTGAACCGCTGTCATAATTCGTAAGAAAACCTACACACATTCTTAAAAGTTTCAATTTAATAATATAACAAAACCTAGCTGCGAGCTTTTAATACATATTCAATGTATTAAAAGCTCGCAGCTAGGTTTTGTTTGAAGTAGGTACCCACGGCAGTACTCCAGACTGGTCGATACTGGGTTGGCGTCAAGAGTAATTAACATAATCTTTGCTGTAGATCTGGATGGTAGTCCATTAGAAATTTGTATCTAAGGAGTAATAAAAATGAGCATTTTTTCTATAAATAATTTATTACGAGTACTTATTAGTTAAAGTATTTCTAATATGCAAATTAAATACCTGTTCTTTACAAGAATAATAATATTACTCATGGTACACAAAAACCCCGAGAAAGCCTTATCACATAACTTACAGACTTTTTAAATAAAAAGGAGATAATAAGGAATAATAGGCATTTTTCCAACCAATTAAATATATTACTGACCATTTTTCGATTCAAAAATACCTTAAGTTTTCTTAACTCATTATTATGTTTTCGGCTTACTCACGTAATAATTTGACTAGATACTCGACTAGTTTCAAGCCATGCCAGAGGCCAATATTCATGAGCAGCATTCCTTAAGTTTTCTATTATTTTTATATCGGTGTAGTTGTATGTTTTACATCTTATTAAATAGCGCACTCATATTAACATTACATTTTGTTTTATGTTAAAAAACCAATATATTACTTTTACCAAATTACAGCGCCATTGTAAAGTCGGCCTTACCTCTGTTATCACACAGTCCTTATCACTCGAGTATGATCTCAGTGGTCGATGTAAAATCGCGTGACATACTTGTGTCGTCTCTTCTACATAACAATAATGTATCAATCGTAGTGATTTCTTTAATAAAATCAATACTTAAAAGCTTATACGATATATTTTTTTAAAGTTTTATTTATATTGCGTTATTGTATTTAAAGTTCAATCAAGGAAAATAGTGGATATAATATCAGTAGTGTTTAAAAATACGCGTGTATTTTCAAAGTGGATAATATATATGTTAACAATTTCGTTTCGATAATTATCTTTTAATGTGTTATAATGTCTTTAATTAGTAATGTTTCGTATGTGAGTGCATTAAAATATGTATAAATTTCTGCTATCGGATTTGATAATTTAATAAATAGATATCTCTATGCAAAGATATTGTAAATTTAATATCAAAAATCTAATAATACTTTCGAATTTTGTTCTTAATTAAATAAAAAGTACCAGGGCCACATAAATTGTCTCCAGGTTACCTCATAGTGAACATTCGTGTTGTGATACTTAGTGTTTAATAAATAAAAAGTTTTAATTGAGACGTCTTCAAAATGATATCTATAGATAATCCTAACATACGGAATCTATCAAGTGCTTAATAAAAAAAAACCAAAAATGATATAAAGAATCTCATAAAACAGTGATGTGTGACCAAAGAATGATATTAATTTGATTTTTGAACGAGAATTTGGATCTAAAAGTTTTATTTAAAGAAAATGATGCCTCTCCGTAAAATCGCTCATCGAGCGTGTTTCATAGTCAGTAGGACTGTGTACATGACATGTAAGTATTTATAACTAGCTACTAACTTTTTCTTTATAAATAATATTAATAAGAATTCAGATCTAAAATATTTTTTGATTAAATTTCGTGAACCAATGAAAAACGAATATACGTTTGGTTTTCATTTATTATTGGTTAACGGGTTTGGATCAAAGTTACCCCGCAGGGTCAAAGTAACCCGACCTGACCCGGTACGTGGCCCATCGTAGGCAGCATCAACAACAGAAGCGGCGAAATGTCTGTTGCAAATAAAATTGTTGACATTAATTCTCTTAACTTTTAGTCAAAAGATTCTTGATCGGTTATTTAATTAATATGTATGCAACATAAATATTATTATATTGCACATATTATTGGACTACACAGTTGGACGCGCAATGTGTCGCGGGTTCGATTCCCGCAAGAAACAACTCTTTGTGTGATCCACAAATTTCTGTTTCGGGTCTGGGCGTGATGTGTATGTGAAATTATTTATAAACGCACCCACGACACGGGTCAAAATCCTAGTGTGGGGCAACGTTTTTCTTAATAAAAATTAACAATAATAATATACATACATAGATGCCTAATATACATAGGTGGACTTAATGCCATAGGCATTCTCACCGGTCGACGATGTAGAGAAAAGTGGTGCAGATGGTAGGTGCAATGGTGAAGAAAACTTGAAACAATAAACTTTGATTATAAAATATATATTGTATACCTGTCTATAAATATAAGTATATACTTATAGTGATATGCTTATTAATCCAAACTAATATTATGAAAGCGAAAGTAACTCTGTCTGTCTGTTTGTCTGTCTTTTCTTCACGCCTAAACTACTGAACCTATTTGTATGAAATTTGGTACATAGTTTGGAACTTGTGGAAGGGCATAGGCTAGTTTTAAACCAAAAATCTGCAGGAAGTCACTATTCCACGCGGACAAAGTCGCGGGCAAAAGCTAGTAAATAAATACCTAATATATCAATTGTGATCTCTAATAATGTGATCTTAAACACGACTTTCTGTCGAAAGGTCTTGAGCAAGGTTCTTGGGTAAAAAAAAATGATTGTAATATTTACGAGTTTTTGGAAACTCAATAATAAACAGCATGGAGTCTGGAGTCGATGTTTGACAGATTGAGATGGGGTTCTGAATGGGAATATGGAACAAGAGTCAAACACAGTTAATATTGATATTGTGTAATTTCTAAATGTAAGTTTGAAATCGCCAATCCGCATTTATCAAGCGTGGTGGTTGATGTTCAAACCTTTTCCGTGTAAGAAGAGGTCTTTGCTCAGCAGTGGTCTTGATGATGATGAACTGAATCTCTACCTACTCCTTCGTAGATGGAACATATGGGTTACGCAGATGATAGTCTTGATGATTTATCGATAACGTTCCAATAAGAACCACTTAATGTTGTTGACTAGATAATTGTGTCAGTCTCCGGCTTATCATCCATACAGTGAACTATGTTGATATTATAATAAACTTATTGCGAAAACAATCCTTGATTTCATTTCATTGATACTTTGATTCACGACTTTTATATATAATTTGCTCTTTTATTGGTGACGTATGTGTTAAACCGCTTAATTTCTTTTATATATTAAAATTTCGTGTCACGTGTTTGTACGCGATGGACTCCTAAACTACTAAACCGATTTTAAATTTGATTTGCATTCCGTCTGCATTTTGATCCAACTTGAAAGATAGGATAGCTTACATCTCAATTTATAGTCACAATAATATTTTATTGCAAATTATTTGTCCATGTGTAATATGACAAGACAACCTTAACCACAGCAACGCGTGGCTGGGTCTGCTAGTTATTATTATATATTTTTTATCTACTTGTACATTATTAAAAATGCAACTTACTTGTGTAAAGTTTTCGATAAAATCTCTGCCAGTTTCAAGTCACATCGGGAGTCTTATTCATGGTCGACGTCGCGTCAACTGTATATTTTTTTACACATTTTGGTAAAATATTAAATAAAATATTTTTCTTGTCTTCTTAATTTTTCTTTTCTCCTTCAAAATATTTTGACATCTTATTACGAAAAAAAAACAGTTGTTTAGCCTGATATTGGCAATATAAGATGTCATTGAGATAATATTGGTTACTAGGAGAGCAAAGTGCGGTGAAGGTTTAGATAAATCTCACTTTCGATAACGTGGTATTGACTGAGGTTGTTCACCGGCACTCTTACGTAAAACTCTTGTTGTTTTTGTAATGAGGAACTTTAATGAAGTAGTTCTCTATAAATCTCGATCAATCATACTTGTGTAAACAGCTGTATCTTAAGCATGAGTATTTGGGGTCCCTAAATCGTTACCCTACCCAAGTCTGCTAAGTTTTCCTCATAAAAGTAAGTGATAAGACAGTGGATATTTTCCTTAACATTTTATAGTAAAAATAATTGTGTGGAATACAAACATTGGCATGTGATACCAAAAGACCATTCTTGTTCAAAAGGACCAAGTCCTATTACACTAAAAGTACCTAAGGATTGATTAGAAAAGAATAAATAAACATACCTTAACGTGTGACGACAGAGTTCCATTTTCAATGTATATTAGGCTTCAATGCTAGCACACGAGTCTGCTACCAATTAATGCTTAAATGCACCGATCACATCAATTCCTAATTTGGTCCTTATGGTTTCAGGTTGCTGCGGCTGTTGCTCCGCTCTCCGGCCTCGCTACAAGAGGCTGGTCGACAATATCTTCCCCGCGATACCACAAGATGGACTCGTCAAGACTAACATGGAGAAACTCACCTTCTACTCCCTGTCGAGTCCTGAGAAACTCGACCGGATCGGAGAGTACCTGTTTCAAAAGGCCTCCAGAGATATCTATAGAAGAAGACATGGGTAAGTTCTACTTAACTTTTTTTATATTATAAAGAGTGTGTTGATTTAATGAAACACATGAGAAAACACAGAAAAGAAGCTTAGCTATGCAGAAGAGAGCTATGCTTTGGTACGAATGGGTTGGCTCGACCAAGTGATGCCGCGGCCTAACAGAAAACCGGCGTTAATCAATTACAGCGTTGTATTTCGCGGTGTGTGTGAGGTTACCGGAGGCCCAATCGTTCCCCTCCCCAACGCCTAAATCTCCGCGCTCAACTCCTCTATTGTAGTGGGTGTCCGTGCTTACCTCCAGGCAATCTGTCAAGGCCAATCTTCTTGTTTGCCGTTCCATCACACAAAAAAAAAAATCGTATACTCTACCCAAAGTCGGTGTTTTCTGAAAGTGAACTGTCTCAAGTGAATAGGTTGCTTTTAGGATTATGATTTCGACAAGCGTACCTACTTTATTGTAGACCGTATTATCGCTTACCAGCAGGCATGATAGTAACCAAACTTCAACCTAATATCTACCAAAAAAATGGCATTATGTGATATATTCTGATCTAACTACCGACCCGCCACGGCTTCTCTCGGATGCCATACTGATAATCAATATCTCCACTATTAAATTGATGTTGTTATACATATAAACCTTCCTCTTCAAAATCACTCTACCTGTTAAAAAACAGCTACAAAATCCGTTGAGTAGATTTAATGATTTAAGCGTACATAAGGACGGACAATCGGCTTTGTTTTCTATATCTATACTAATCTTCTTTATATATAAATAGGATCGCAAAATGTGTTGGTAAGCGCATAAGTCAACAACGCCTGGACCAATTTTGCTAATTCTTTTTTTGTTGTGTTTGGTATTGTCAGGAGAAGGTTCTTAGCTATTAATTTTTAATTAATAAAGAAAATATTAGAAAAATAGAGGGGAAGATTAGGAAAAAGTGACGGTTTGATAGCGAGATAGTTGGACCCGTGCGAAGGGGTGGCGCTAGTATTATAAAGAGGTAAAATTTTAAGTTTGTAAGTTTGTATTTAGGGGTTATCTTTGGAACCACTGGTCGGATTCCCAAAATTCTTTCACTGATAGATAGCTACAATGTTCTTGAGTGCTTAAGGCTATTAAACATCACGCTACGATCAAATGGAGCCGAGCTGCGGGGGAAACCGCGTGAGAGTAGCTAGTATATCTACTATGTAGTGATGTTTTCTTGTTCGTTCAAAGCTTATCACGATTACTTGCCAAAATGAACACGTTAGGCAGTAACTCCGTGATCTTGAGTTAGCTTATCATAAGATTATCGCTTCCGCACTGAAGCTGTCATGTATCACGGTTACAATTTGATAGACATGGTGTTATCAATTTTTCCGTACTTACGTATGTATTACTTCTGGAAATTCATATCCAACGAGCTCCTTGCCCGTTCATCAATCTTAGTCCAGTAATAAAAACCTTACCTGGAACATTAGTTATTAGTTAATTACATCAAGAGTTATTTTGTGAGGGAATCTACGCAGGGCACCCTAATGCTCAGCATCATTTTTATAGCTTGGAGCAGGAGAAAAAACAGGGTTATTTTTAGTCATTTGTGAGATCAGTAGAGATGTCAAGGGAAAACCATCAATTTTCTTCTTCTGCCTAGAGAGAGGCGTGTGGAAGTGTCAGACTCTTACTGACTAAAGATCCCCCGTTCCTTCTCCTTCCTGCTTTAGGCTGAGGCTGCGGTGCCTCATTACGCTTACCTCGCAACCCAGACGGGGTTGCTTGATACTGAAATCACAGCTCCTTTGCTTTCTACATTTGTGACAATAGACAACTTGCAATGTATCTTTATTGGCTCTGGAACATAATAATTACATCTACAAAGGCATTAACCAGCACATATATTTTAATGGAGCTAAACAATAACACAAATAAAAGTCCTATAGAGTTTCCATAATAGAGCTCTTTGTTGTAAATGTGTACCATTTACTATTACTCAGAATTTATTTTAAATGCAGCGCAGTTGTTATGCCATGTTTCTTGTTTGTATTGGTGAAACACGTGTTTTGTTTTCTTACGTAAATATGCTGCTTATGCCATTAAGATCTGACTATAAGCTATATCCCCACTGCTGAGCAAAGGCCTCTTCTTACACTAAGAAGGTTTTAGCGTTAATAGGCGTACTCAAGCCAGATTAGTGATTTCAAACTTATAGTTGACATATATAAAGTCTATATTTCGTCGATTAGCAATTCCAACGTAATCAACATAAGCAAAATGTGTTGGTCAGCGCATAACTCAATAACGCCTAAGCCAATTTTGACAATTCTTGTTAGTTGTGTTTGATATAGTCACGAAAAAGGGGAGAAAAAGCTATATACATGCACGAAGCGGGGACACGCTGCTAGTCTAGTTTTCGGAAATAAAAACGAATCCCATGGGAAAACTATGAAATAAAACAGATGCAAAATACTCTTTTAATCTTTCGTGATGAATGTTATTTAGGTATACAAGGTGTTAGAACTTTATCTAGATAACATACGTGCGAGATAAAAGAAATAACTCGATATCAGAAAGTCGTAAATTTCAGGCTATAACAGATGTTATAAATTGGTCTAGGTCTAGATGCTTCTTCGAACTCGTAACCCTCTTTATTCATAAGTAAATGTAATGTTTTAGGACGGGGAACTAGCATGTTGACTTCCTAATAATAAACAGTCAGCGTCGACCATGGACGCCATTGGAGATTGGGGGGGATTGGGAATTGGGGGGGAAAGAAGGATTACTTTGCTTGGTACCTATAAGAACCTGTTGTTTTTGTTTATGTGATGTGTCGGCAAACGAGCAGACGGATTACCTGATGGTAAGCAATCAGCGTCGCCCATGGACACCCGCAACGACGGAGAAGTTACGAGTTGGAGATTTTGGGAAAGGAAACTCCGGTAACCTGTTGTTGTTGATACCTGAATACCTGTTGATAAACAACGAGGAATAAACACCAAATGGCATTTCAAAAGAATCTTTTTTCGAAATGCCTGCCATTATCTCTCAAAACTGCTGTAACTCCTGCATGCCAAGTTCAACAGTAACAACTATAAAATCACCCTATTAACTAAAGTCCGGGGGATCGCTGGGAATAACTGTACTGTGTGTATAAATCAGAAAATATCATTTGTGGATAACAAAACACAAAGCCGTGTTAAGGAATTATTTGCATTTCTCATCATTATTTTAATTGTACCATGATACCTATTGTTTTCAGGTTCGTGATAATTGCAATGGAGGCGATGGACCAGCTCCTAGTGGCGTGTCACTCGCAAACGCTCAACCTGTTCGTCGAGAGCTTCCTCAAGATGGTGCAGAAGTTGCTGGAGTCCACCGACCCTCAGTTACAGATCCTTGCTACACAGAGTGTGAGTACCTTCACTGGGTTATAATTTATTGTCTGCCTCTTCAACGAACAAAATAAAAAGAAAAGATGCTTGATAAAAATGAGAGTAATGGGTCTTATTAAATAAATTAGGAAACGCTTTCTTTATCTTCACGGTTGCTCGCTCAGTTTCAGACCACGACTGGGACTCAAAAACGCTCTAACAGATCACATGACTTTACCGTATATTTAAATATTTCATTAAACAAAAATATAACACTGTGTGATACAGAAATTGTTGTATCAGGTCTGGGTGGCTTGTGTATGTAAATTAGTATGCTTGTACCCGATACAAGAGAAAATAACAACAAAATAAAATATATAACATTTGTTTTTTATTTATGTAAAAATTTATGTGGGTGGGTGTAAAGCGTCTTGTTATCGTTTTGTTACTCTTTTATTTTTTTCCAATAAAACCGAGCACATACACCTCGAATCCTACGTTACGCCATCTTGTTTATTTTTCAAATTATGTTCCATCTTTTCTCTCTTTCACACACGTGTACCCTCTTTCTCTCATTTACTCATGCTTACAATCCTATATTATTATATGGGGTAAGTTTTAAAAAATATCCGTGACGTAATATCGAAACTTTTATTCCACAGTTTGTTCGATTCGCGAATATAGAGGAGGATACCCCGTCGTACCACCGGCGCTACGATTTCTTCGTGTCAAAGTTCTCGGCGATGTGCCACAGTAACCACATCGACAAGCCGACTCGGGACAGCATACGGCTCGCTGGCATTCAAGGACTACAGGTAACTTATGAACTGTCTATAGGTAGTGAGCTCTAAAGGAAGTTCTAGTTATAATTTCAATATATTTTGTCTGTACAAATGCATAATTTTAAGAATGTTGGTTAGCTCGTAAATGGCTAATGTATAAGACCTACTACCTATAACGAAATTCACGGAGCATTTCCGTCGCTTGGCTCCTAAGTTGGAGCGGACTGGGGCCGCTCTCAAGCGGCTCCTTCCCATCCTGGAGGGGCCAAACGCCTTTTTTTTTGGTGTCGGGTTAGAAAATCCTCAAATCCTCACAGAGTACCACCGCCCTAGGTTGAGGGCGAAGGGTATTGTCAGACTCTTACTGACTAAAAACCAACCCGGTGTTCCTCCAATTACCCATGTGTCGGAGGGGCGGGTATCGCCGAAGCATTCGTCGCATCCCCCCGACGGGTATTGGGCCCCAGATGGTAAGGCGGGCCCCGTCACCCACTGCGGCCGTCACCCCGACCGCAGGACTCCACAATGAGGCGCGCGCGGAACACGGCGCCGCCACCTCGAGGCCTGCTGCTGGTCGGACGACAAGAGGGCCAAACGCCTCCTGCCGGAGGCTGTATATTGGGATCACCTCAGTACATAATATTGATGTACTTACTAAGGTTACTTTTTTAATGTCCCCAGGGTGTAATCAGGAAGACCGTCTCGGATGACCTAGTGGAGAACATCTGGGAGGCGCAGCACATGGACAAAATCGTGCCCTCGCTTCTCTATAACATGCAGGTGAATTGGATAGTTTACTAGGTCAAAAATAATTTGATTGACGTTTCAATACAATAACATAATAATTTTTTTATTTATAGATCTGATAATAAAGTAAATTTACGATATTTTATAGCAATTTTTTAAGAAATAAGTAAGCTATTTGACGCACAAAATACTAGGACGTCATAATTTGGAATGTCGTTCAGATTTCTTAGCTTTTGTTTCGCGTTCTTTTTTATGGTATACGGCATATGTGTGGCATATATATGGCAAACGGATTACCTGATGGTAAGCAATCAGCACCGCCTATAAACACCCGCAATAACGGAGGAATTACGAGTACGTTGCTAAACTTTTGGGGATTACGGCTTTGGAGATTTTGCGATTGGAAAGAAATGGGGGGAGGTTTGGTCTCACACGGCGAAATACAACGATGTGGTTGCTTCACGACTGTTTCCTTTAAGGCCGTGGTATCACTCCGCTCGAGCCGAAGCTTGGCTCTCGACTTGACTTCTCATATTATGTACATTTTAACTAATAATAATAATTTTAAACTACCCAGACAGCAGAAAAATACGACACGGTGCTGTGCATGGAGGGCGGCGCGGGGGAGGAGCAGCCCGCGCGGCTGGCCGAGGCGTGTCTGCGGGAACTCGTCGGCCGCGCCTCCTTCGGACATATACGCAGCGTACTGCGACCTGTGCTCACGTATGTAGCCCTGGTACTTTTCATCTACCACTAGATACTCTCGCGCGGATTCACCCGCTGTTCAACTCCTAAAGATCTAGCGTGATGTTTTATTTTTCTTTTTTTTTATGTAATAGTTCGGCAAACGAGCAGATGGATTACCTGATGGTAAGCAATCAACGCCGCCCATGGACACCCGTAACGGAGGAGTTACGAGTGCGTTGCCGACCTTTTAGGAATTAGGGATTTGGAGATTTAGGAACTGGGGAGTGATTGGGAAGGGGAAGGATTGGGCCTCCGGTAACCTCACTCACATGGCGATACGCAACACTGTGGTTGTTTCACGCCAGTTTTCTGTGAGGCCGTGGTATCACTCCGGTCGAGCCGACCCATTAGTATTCGTAAATTTTTGTGTGTGTTAAATGTGTTTTATAACCTTTAGTTTTCCTCAATAACCTTGTAGCGACATCTATCGCACAATAATAACAACAGCATCAATCACGTGGAAAATTCTACATCGCGGTATAAGAGTTCTCAACGCAATTAGAACCAATACAAAATCCCGACAATGACCGTCGGGTAGTAGCCCACCAGACACAACACCCGTATGGTTGGTGGATCCTCCCTTTTCAATGGAGGATGAGGAGCTTGCCATCCTGTTCTCTCATATCTCTAAAACCCTATATCCGTAACCGGAACCGATTCCGAAATTAAAGTTTCGGATAATATCGGACAGGGGCGGAGCCTAATTGAGACACATTTGCAGGTATTTTACTTTTGAAATTCCTTAACATTTTAATAGCATTCATATCCATATCTAGGATAAAAATCATTCCTACATCCGTCTCCAAAATTTTATATCCATAACATCTCTAATAATTATATACGTACATAGAATTGATATGTATGTCTGTCTGTCCACAGTCACTTCGACCGACACGAGCTGTGGATACCGAACGACTTCGCAGTACACACCTTCAAGATTATAATGTTCTCTATACAGGTAACTAACTAATTTATTAACCTTTGAATCGAGGTTATTACACACACAATATGTTTGACTAGCTACTCTCGCGGTTTCACCCGCTGCTCGGCTCCGTTTAATCGTAGCGTGATGTTTTGTAGTCTATAGCAATCAGGAACATTGTAGCTATCTATCAGTGAAAGAATTTTGGAAATCCGACCATCGGTTCCAAAGATTACCCCCTTCATACAAACTTACAAATTTTACCTTAATATTAGTATAGAAGTATATAGATTAATTAAGCAGATCTTTGGCTTAATTGTTCTCACATAATAGACTTGATAATGTAACAAATAATTTGGTATTGTAAAAGAGTAACCATGGAGTTTCTTGCTCGTTCTTCTCCATAGGAATCTTCACTTTGGAACGAGCGAATAGTTTCAATGGCGGACAGACCGACTTTTAATCTATGACACAGGAAAAAATCCTGATGTAGGATTTTTAGATCAGTTTGATAAAGACCAACACTGCTGCAAATGTATTAAAACTGATATTTCATTGTAATATGATTAAAAGACTTGGATCTTGGATACTTGACTTTAATATCACAGTACACAGTCGGGCAGCTCACTGCACCAGAGTTACATTGTCAATGGCCGACACTCTCGGCCACCTTATTTATAGTAAAATGATGACAATGACATTGACAGTAGTAGTGTGACAATGATTAGTTTTTTTTATGGTAAATGTCGGCAAACGGGCAGACGGATTACCTGATGGTACGCAATCGACGCTCATGGACACCCAAAGGAGTTATGAGTGCGTTGCCGGCCTTTTTGGGGATAGGGGTTGCGGATATAAGGATCGGGAAGGGACGGAAATGGGCCTCCGGTAACCTCACTCACACGGCGAAACACAACGCTGTGGTTGTGTCACGCCGGTATTCTGTGAGGCCGTGGTATCACGCCGGTATGACTGCACTGTTGGTGCGGTGGCTGGGCAACTGGCTGCCGTGCAACGTGTCGCGGGTTCGATTCTCGTACGGAATAACTCTTTGTGTGACCCACAAATTGTTGTTCCGGGTCTGGGTGTCATGTGTATGTGAAATTGTATGTTTGTAACCGCACCCACGACCCAGGAGAAAATCCTAATGTGGGGCAACGTTTTGTTAATAAAGAAATAAAGGTATTAGTAATTAAAGATAATACAAGAGTTACGTCGGTTCCCTGCAGGCGCAGTACTCGTACAGCGTGGTGGAAGCGTTGATGCAGCACCTGGACGCGGGCGGCGACCGCAGCACGGACGCGCGCGACTACACGCGCGTCCGCGCCGCCCGCGCCGCCGTACTCAGCAACATCGTCGCCATCGCCGCCGCCGACAGCGTCGGTACGTGCATACAAACCCACCACCACTAATAAATTGGAAAAAATTAAATATTTCTTCATCATCATCAGCCCACAAGTGCCCACTGCTGAGCAAAGGCCTATTCTCACACAGAGATGGTTTGGTAATTAATCATTGCTCAATGCGGGTTCGCGATTTCAAACTTGTTATAAGAAATTATAAGTCCAGGTTTCCTCACGATGTTTACCTTCACCGTATGTAAGTGGTGTCTAAATAATTGTAGAAAGTACATATAACTAGGAAAAAGTAAAATATTATTAAGGAGATTTTATTTGGTGGGTCAATAAGTCCCGGTACTAATCGGTCCTAAGTGTGGAAGAGCCATGCTTCGGCACGAATGGGTCGGCTCGACCGGAGTGATACCACGGCCTCGCAGTAAACCGGCGTGAAACAACACTTACGTTGTGTTTCGCCGTGTGAGTGAGGTTATCGGAAGCCCAATTCTTCCCCCATGTCCCAATCCTCAAATCCCCTATCCTTGAATCCCTAATATTCCACAAGAGGCCGACAACGCACTTGTAGTAACTCCTTTGGTACTAGGAGAGTCCATAGGCGGCGCTGATTGCTTAACATCATCATCATCTTTATGGATCTTGATTTTAATGGTTCTTGTTGTCGGAAACCTGATATTATAATTTCTAAGTTTGAAATCGCCAATCAGCTTTGAGCAAGCGTGGTGAATAATGCTCAAACCTTTTCGATGTAAGAAGAGGCCTTTGCCCAGCAGTTGGCACTTATAGGCCGATGATAAATGTGTAATTAATGTTTTTTTGCTGTGTTGTTACAGGACCATCAGTATTGGAGATCATCAACAATCTGCTGACTAACCTGCGCGCGTCCGTAGCTAGAGATTCTGAAGTAAGTACCGATTCAGTTATACTCTTCTACATTTCTGCTGCCCTGGTACTTACAGTATAAAAAGTACTAATATATTTTTTCGATTTTTTAATGGAGTCCTTATTTTTTGGCACTGAAATAAATATCATTATTTCATGTGTCACAAAAAACTAAAGACGGTGAACTCTATACCTCCTCAAAATTATAGTTGCCTAGTACCCTTGTCTGCTTTGCACTACTTAGCTAACGACGAAAGGATCACTGTTTGTCAATATGGGAGATACCGAGACTGATTACCTGATTGTAAACAATCAGCGCCACCCATGAACACCCGCAACGGAGGAGTTACGAGTGCGTTACCGACCTCTTAGGGATTAGGGTTTTGGAGATTAAGGGATTGGGGAAGTATTGGGCCTCCGGTAACCTCACTCACACGGCGAAACACAACGCTGTGGTTGCTTCATGCCGGTTTTCTGTGATATTACTCCGGTCGAGCTGACCCATCGGTGCCGAAGCTTGGCTCTTCCACACTTAAAACACTCAAATCAAATCAAATCAAAATCATTTATTCCAAATAAACCATAAATAGGTACTTTTGAAACGTCAAAATAGAATAGTAGTCTGTCAGTCTGTTCGTCAGTGAAGCGAGGTGCTCGTTCCAAATTGTAGTTTCGAATGGAAAAGAACGAGCAAGAAACTCCATCGTTACTCTTTTAAAAAAAATATTTGTTTTACAATTCATCAATAATACATTTTTTATACATTACTGTACCCCTATGTGAGAACAATGCAGAGACAAGTTGTTAATAAAAAGGAACAAATGATGGTCTATTTAATCTATCATTAAAATTTTAATCCTTTGTTGTCTCGTACATGGCGCTCACATATGCGTACTCACAATCCAAAAGAATGCTTCTATATAAACTCATTCAAGGTTTCATTAATTTTGAGAATTTTAATAACTACTGACTACATATTTGAGAATTGTCCAGTGGAGCCGAACCAACATGCTGCCAGGCATTCTTATCCTCAATATAATCTGAAAGTTTGTAGTATGCCTGTCTACATAATTCGCGTTTAATATAAGTTTTAAATTTTCGTTCATTAAGATTTAATACACTTCTTGGAATTTTATTGTAACAATTTACACAGAACCCCATAAAGGATTTCTGTACTTTGGACAGACGGAATCGTGGCACAGCCACCCTATCTTTGCCTCTAGTATTAAAATTGTGTCTATCGCTTCTTTTTTCAAATAATTGCAAATTTTTCCTTACGTACATAATATTTTCATATATAAACTGACAAACCGGTACCGTTAGGATATTTATCGTTTTAAATAGTTCTCTCAGAGATTCACGAGGGGACAAGTTATATATAGCTCGGATAGCCCGCTTTTGCAAAATAAATATTGAATCTACTTCCGCAGCTCGACCCCATAGCAAAATTCCGTAAGACATAATGCTGTGAAAATAGCTAAAATAAACAAGCCTTGCTGTGTTCACGTCTGTGAGCTGTCTAATCTGTCTAACTGCAAAAACAGCTGAGCTCAGTCTTCCCGAAAGCGTCTTTATGTGGGAACCCCATTGAAGTTTATTGTCTAGCGTAATACCTAGGAACATAGTCTCGTTAACAAATTCTAACTTTTGCCCATTTAACATTATGTCACAATCATTATTGTGTACGTTGGGCAAGCTAAATTTAATACATTTTGTTTTTTTCTCGTTAAGTGCTAAATTATTGACAGTAAACCAATTATGAACTCGATGAATGGATCTGTTTACTTCGTCCAAATTATTAACACGTCGACCTATTCTAAAAATTAATGATGTATCATCTGCAAACAGCACCATTCTTGGCTCGGTTTTAAATAGAAATGGCAAGTCATTAACATACACTAAGAAGAGAAACGGACCCAAAATTGAACCTTGCGGTACGCCAATTCTTATCTCAGAGCCCCGTGAGTTAGAACCACCTACATGAACTCTCAGCTGCCTATCCTCTAAATATGACTTTAGTAGACGGAGTGCAGTATGTCTAATCCCGTAATGATCTAATTTCAGCAAGAGTGTTTCATGATCAACGCGATCGAACGCCTTTGAGAGGTCGCAAAAGACACCAACAGCATCCTGTGCTTCCTCCCAAGCACCGAATACCTCCTTTATCAAAGTGACACCGGCGTCAGTTGTACAACGACCTTTAGTGAAACCGTATTGTTGGTGATGGAAGATGGCATGTTTATCAAAGTGATGAAGCATCCGAGATAGCATTAACTTTTCGAACACTTTGCTAAGAACCGGCAGAACAGACACAGGCCTATAGTTGTTTGGTTCCTTAGTGTCACCATTTTTGAATAATTGAATAACTTTACTGTATTTCATTAGGTTGGGGAAGACACCGTCATCTATACTTTTATTGAAAATCAAAGCCAGATACGGCGCTAAAGTTCGGATAAGTGATCCGCAGACTTTCACCGATAGTCCCCAAAGGTCCTCAGTTGATTTAATCTTGATTTCTTTAAAAACCTTTATTATCTCTAAAGGATTAGTACAATGAAAACTAAAATCGTCTTTGCATGATTTGACATTTTCTCTAAGCAAAGTTACCGATAGTCTAGCTGATGATTCTAAATGAGCAGTTGTTGAGACAGGTATATTAGCAAAAAATGCCTATATAAAACTACATATACACTACACTACAATGTATACATCATACTACACTATAAACTAAAAACTTTAAAATTTATAATGATGGATGTTTTTTAATGTTTTTTTATTACATTAACAGAAAGAAACCGACGAGAAATTGTACCAAGAAGCTCTGATCAACGCTCTGGGCGAGTTCGCGGACCATTTGCCTGACTTCCAGAAGATAGATATAATGATGTTCATCATCAACAAGGTGCCCAGCAGTCAGCGCGCCAACAAGGGCACCAAGGCCGACGCCATGCTGCAGAGTATACTGCTCAAGTCCCTACTCAAGGTAAATTGGGTAGTTTCAATACAATGTAATATTAAAAAATAACTAAACTTTCACTTTTATTCGTCGATCGATTGATACACTAAATTTTAGATATTTTTATTTGATGCAAAAATACTATTTATTTATTTTATTTTTATTCAGTAGGTACAGTAACAGACAGTAAACCAAAAATTACAAAATTGAATACTACACTACACACAAATTATAAATCCGCAGTCCAGTAATAACTGTACACAACATTCATAAAAAAAAATACAATTTGCTTCATAACATGGAGAGTTACTGATACAAATTACGTTTTCCAATTGTGCCGACACATGACGTCACACTATGACGTCATAACTCAGTGTTTCATACAAATTTCATAGAAAAGTATAGTTTTTGACATTTGGATAAAAGTATTGAATTTGACTAGTTGGAAACTACCGTGTTAAGGCTTATAATGGTCTTTTTTTAAATAGTTTTTTTAAATAAGAAAAAAGTTGTCTCTTTCTAAGATTTTCTCCTATGTCGTGGACTAACTGATATAGTTTAGCAATCGACGCCTCCCATGGACACAAACTTTAATTTAGATATTTTAAACTATTTATTTGTATCTAAGTTCATTTGTGTAAAAAGTGCCAAATATTGGTTTAACCGTGAATACTTTTGTTTTTATAGCTTGATCTCAAAGTTCCATTTTTCTTCAACGACCATTATTTAATTAAATAGCGAAGTTACCTTTGAATGATAGCTTCACCGAATATATCCTTGAATTATAGTCTTATGTAATATGCTTTGAAATATAACCTTACCTAATATGGCCTTGTACAAGCTGTATTGCCTTATGCAATACACCTTGTAAAACAAAATATGTTGTGTACGGTCTAGGTGGGCACGACGTACCGTACGGTGGAGCTGAGCAAGGCGTTCCCCGCCGCCTTCCTCGAGGCATTGTTGCGGCTGGCGGGCGGAGCCGGGGGGCGAGCCAGGGCCACGCTGCAGCGCATACTGCATACACTGCTCGACCGCAGGGACAACGCCACGCGGGTCGCCGCGCCCACGTAATGTATACATCATACTGCACACACTGTGAGACCGCAGGGACAACGCCACGCGGGTCGCCGCGCCCACGTAATGTATACATCATACTGCACACACTGCTCGACCGCAGGGACAACGCCACGCGGGTCGCCGCGCCCACGTAATGTATACATCATACTGCACACACTGCTCGACCGCAGGGACAACGCCACGCGGGTCGCCGCGCCCACGTAATGTATACATCATACTGCACACACTGCTCGACCGCAGGGACAACGCCACGCGGGTCGCCGCGCCCACGTAATGTATACATCATACTGCACACACTGTGAGACCGCAGGGACAACGCCACGCGGGTCGCCGCGCCCACGTAATGTATACATCATACTGCACACACTGCTCGACCGCAGGGACAACGCCACGCGGGTCGCCGCGCCCACGTAATGTATACATCATACTGCACACACTGTGAGACCGCAGGGACAACGCCACGCGGGTCGCCGCGCCCACGTAATGTATACATCATACTGCACACACTGTGAGACCGCAGGGACAACGCCACGCGGGTCGCCGCGCCCACGTAATGTATACATCATACTGCACACACTGCTCGACCGCAGGGACAACGCCACGCGGGTCGCCGCGCCCACGTAATGTATACATCATACTGCACACACTGCTCGACCGCAGGGACAACGCCACGCGGGTCGCCGCGCCCACGTAATGTATACATCATACTGCACACACTGTGAGACCGCAGGGACAACGCCACGCGGGTCGCCGCGCCCACGTAATGTATACATCATACTGCACACACTGCTCGACCGCAGGGACAACGCCACGCGGGTCGCCGCGCCCACGTAATGTATACATCATACTGCACACACTGTGAGACCGCAGGGACAACGCCACGCGGGTCGCCGCGCCCACGTAATGTATACATCATACTGCACACACTGTGAGACCGCAGGGACAACGCCACGCGGGTCGCCGCGCCCACGTAATGTATACATCATACTGCACACACTGCTCGACCGCAGGGACAACGCCACGCGGGTCGCCGCGCCCACGTAATGTATACATCATACTGCACACACTGTGAGACCGCAGGGACAACGCCACGCGGGTCGCCGCGCCCACGTAATGTATACATCATACTGCACACACTGCTCGACCGCAGGGACAACGCCACGCGGGTCGCCGCGCCCACGTAATGTATACATCATACTGCACACACTGCTCGACCGCAGGGACAACGCCACGCGGGTCGCCGCGCCCACGTAATGTATACATCATACTGCACACACTGCTCGACCGCAGGGACAACGCCACGCGGGTCGCCGCGCCCACGTAATGTATACATCATACTGCACACACTGTGAGACCGCAGGGACAACGCCACGCGGGTCGCCGCGCCCACGTAATGTATACATCATACTGCACACACTGCTCGACCGCAGGGACAACGCCACGCGGGTCGCCGCGCCCACGTAATGTATACATCATACTGCACACACTGCTCGACCGCAGGGACAACGCCACGCGGGTCGCCGCGCCCACGTAATGTATACATCATACTGCACACACTGTGAGACCGCAGGGACAACGCCACGCGGGTCGCCGCGCCCACGTAATGTATACATCATACTGCACACACTGTGAGACCGCAGGGACAACGCCACGCGGGTCGCCGCGCCCACGTAATGTATACATCATACTGCACACACTGTGAGACCGCAGGGACAACGCCACGCGGGTCGCCGCGCCCACGTAATGTATACATCATACTGCACACACTGCTCGACCGCAGGGACAACGCCACGCGGGTCGCCGCGCCCACGTAATGTATACATCATACTGCACACACTGTGAGACCGCAGGGACAACGCCACGCGGGTCGCCGCGCCTTTCATTTGAAATTAGGTCACTCTTACTGTAGCTTAGGCTCAGACTACAGAGTGTTTCTAAAACTACGCCTTGCGCCATAATAATGAATAATATTTTTATTTTTAATTTATTTAAATCTCATTATTTTTTTATAATGAGATTTAAGACTGCCTTTGTAAGACGGCTAAAAAGTCACGGCGTATAATGTTTAAAACAACCGGAGTATCTTCAAGGCCCGAGTGAACACATTGCTTATGGGTAGGCGTTCTAAATCGTAGGTCACATCATCGCCTACCAAAAGCGGTGATAGCGGCCAAACGCCTACCCATTACGAAATAATAAAAATCACAATTACATACATATACATACGATACCTACAAAAATTTGTTAATAATATTTAATTTATATAACAAATTTTTGTATAATTTCTTATAACAAAATCTCATTTAACATGAATTTTCATGTAATCAAACTTCACAAAATCTGTATATTTCTGTGCAGTGTGGAGGTATGCGAGTTGGGTCTGATAGTGGAGAAATGCTCGCGACAAGACCTCATCTTCTTCAGCAAGCACGGGTACGCTCTGTTCAGCTCGCTCTATGAAGGTAAGCGTTTTATTGTCCTCCTTTCAAATATCGTCTCCTGATTAATTTCATTGCGGTAGACAGTCATGCAGGACTTCAGTGTTCCGGTGTTTTCTTGGTTGTATCTACCGTAGACTTACTAGGCTTACAGAAATTGCAGCAAGTTTGGCAAACTTGTCCTAGTGTTAAATAAATAATTTTACTAAATTATTCTAACACAAAAAAGTGCTCTTCAAATTATAAATACCAAGTAAATCGTGGTAATTGGTCTTCACCACAACTTCAAAAATGACTTTTGAGTCTGTTTATTTGATCTCAGGGTGATCCGATAGGAAATACCCGGATTTCAGTACTTCGGTGTTTTTACCGACTTCAACATGGTTATATCTACTGCACACTTACTAGGCTTACAGAAATCGCAGCGGTGGTGGGAGGCTGTGACAACGGGTCAAAATAAATACTTTTTTTTTATGTAATAGGTCGGCAAACGAGCAGACGGATTACCTGATGGTAAGCAATCAGCGCCGCCCCATGGGCGACACTCGCAACGGAGGAGTTACGAGTGCGTTGCCGACCTTTTAGGGATTAGGGATTTGGAGATTTAGGGATTGGGGAAGGGGAAGGATTGGGCCTCCGGTAACCTCACTCAAAAGGCGAAACACAACGCAGTGGTTATTTCACGCCGGTCGAGCCGACCCATTCGTGCCGAAGCATGGCTCTCCCACACTTAAACACTTTTATCGATATGATACTTTTCCTACGTAATTTTTGTGAGATTGTCTTGTGAAGTCATTATATTCTGTCTCCAAACACCAAAGCATACCAAACTATAAAAAGATCCTAAATGAAAATTAAGTATAAGAACTATATTAATTTAGAATAAATAATAATGTATTCAAACTTTGAAATAATCTAATTTTAACTAAGGCAAACACCTGATTATTCAATTAAGCGCTGTTTCGTCCACTAGGGCTGCAACTAGAATCGAATACGATGGAGAACGTGGAAGCTATTTACACGACGTTGGCGCTCATCTGCATCGAGCTCGCCTCCGAGGAGACTGTCTGCGACATCATGCAGCTTATACTGGCGTGAGTATTAACTATTTACATTATTGCATATTTCATCATTTGTGATAGGTCGGCAAGCAAGGATACGAATTACCTGATGGTAAGCAATCAGCGCCGCCTATGACTCTCCCACACGTAGTTATGAGTGCGTTGCTGGCCTTCTAGGATAAGGGTTTCGGAGATTGTGGATTGGAGGACGGCAAAGGCTGACGGATTACCTGATGGTAAGCGTTGGGCGCCGTCCTTAGATACCCGCAAGACTACAGGAGTTATGATTCCGGGGCCAGACTGTTGGGGTTAGAGTTCGAAGATTTAGACGTTTGGGAGGGTAGGTAGAACTGGACCTCCGGTAACCTCACTCACACGGCGAACAAAACGTTGTGGCTGTTTCACGCCGGTTTTCTGTAAGGCCGTGGTATCACTCCAGTCGAACCAACCCATTCAAGCCGGAGCAATGCTCTTCTACCTAAAAATTTTAAATGATTTTTGTTTGTTTGCTTGCAGTATCCAGCAATCAAGTCTATCGAACCCAGTACTGTCGGTGGCTCAGCAATGCCAGCTTCAAGCCATCAGTATCTCCCTGGCAGCCCTCTTACCTCACGTTATGATGCTGACCCGCCTCACTGACTATATCAACAAGGTAACCAAGACACCCCTTAGTTTATGTTGTTAACTGACACTTGTGTGATTACGATAGACTATGATTACGCCTGTTAGTTGATCTGGTTGTAATAGACACTTGCGTGCCCTATCTTTAGAACGGGTCTACTTAAACTGGTGTAGGTCTTTCCTCAAAAGACCACTGCAGAATGAAGTTGCACGATTCTTGATTATATCAACAAGGAAACAGAGTATACACCCGTTAGTTTAACTGGTTGTAATAGACACTTGCGTGCCTTATCTTTAGAACGGGTCTACTTAAACTGGTGTGGTTCTTTCCTCAAAAGACCACTACGGAATGGACTAGCACGGTTCTCACACATTATTTTACTGTCGGACTTGCACTGATGCAACACCGGAGGAGTGTGTTCCCAGCCGTTTAGGGATAAGACTTTCTGAGATGTTGGGATGGGAAAAGTTTTATAATTATGATGTTAAACTATCTTTTTGAAATAAAATAATTTTTTGAACAATGCAATAGATTGCAACATAACTTGACGTGAGTATTTTAGAAGAAGATTAGGTTAGGCTACGTCCCTGGTTGAGTTAGCCCACTCAAGTTACATAAAGCAGTTATGTTTTACTATTGTCATTATTGTTTGCAGATAATAGCGGCCCGACGTGAAGAGGCCCCGCACCTCCTCCCTCCACTGCAAGAGGACTACGATGACCTGCCTCCAGCCAAGATGCCCAACAAACTGCCTTACCTCATGATGGATCAGGTAACCACTCACTGTACTCTTCTAGCCAGAAAACTCTAACATCAAGACTTCGACTTATTGTTATTTTTGAGCGACAATGTTGTAAGCCTAGGTGAGTTAGAGATCCCCCTTGTCACACCCAGGGTGTTAGAAGCAATTTAATGATCCCCCCCTACTCCCCCAAAAAAGCTGTTGGAGATTGAAATTGGAGATTAAATAAAAGTATATGTAGGATCCCAATCAGGGACAAATATGTAAAAAAAAGGATTGTTGATCGACATTCTGACATAGTTTAAGTGTAAGAGCTTCGGCATGGACGGGTCGGCTCGACCGTAGTTATACCACGGCCTCATAGCAAGCCGGCGTGAAACAACCACAGCGTTGGATTTCGCCGTGTGAATGAGTTTACCGGAAGCCCAATCCTCCCCCCTCCCCAATCTCAAAATCTCTAAATCCCTAATCGCTCATCGTTTCCCCTCCTCTAGCATCAAATCACTGAAACCCATAGCTCATTTGTTTGTCAAAAAGATGAGGTGGAAAACGTTGTCTACCCAGCTATTACCAACAACTTTTTAACACTTGGTATCCATTACAGATGGCATTGTGTGACCTGCTGAAGTCCCACGGCATAGACGTGACGCGACTGTCCTCGACGTCTCCGTACACAGCCGGCAATGTAGCCCTGCCGCACCGACACAGCTGGGTCGAGGCCGGTACGTACCAACTTACGTTCATGCGCTCCTAGTACTTTTAACGTGTTTTGTAGCCCTTTTTTAAAAAAGGCGTGTGTATTTATAGGCTTTTAAACATAATATTTTCTGTTTTATATTATATTGTATTTTATAGGTAGTCAATTATTTTACACTTTATATTACACTGGCTTTTGCCCGCGACGCGTGGAATAGTGACTTCCTGCAGATTTTTGTTTAAAAAACTGCCCTATGTCCTTTCTCGAGTTCCAAACTATGTGCACCAAATTTCACAAGAATAGGTTCAGTAGTTTAGGCGGGAAGAAAAGGCAGACAGACACTTCCGCATTTATAATATTAGTTTAGGTTTAGTCAGTATGTGTATTGAAATGTTGTAAAATTACACACTTTAACCATAATGTACTATTTTAACACACTTCCTCATAAAGATGATTACTGTTCCTTCTGCCCTCGGTTATTTATTTTCAATACGGTTCCGGGTCCGGGTGTAGTGTGTTTGTAAAATTTTATACTTGTTAACTCATCCACACACAGCAGAAATATATGAGTGGGGAAAAATTTTCTTTTAAAAAAAGGTCGAAAGCAAATACTGCAGCAGGTACCCAGGCAATAAAAAAATCCAGTGCAAAAATCAAATTGACACTTACTTCATGTGCTTGTTTATATCTTCTGTCTTTATATTTGTTTACCTCTCCTGTTTATTCCAGGTGCAGCTCAAGGTCGCGACAGTCTCGCAGAAATAACAGCGCCCGGCACTGAGCTGGATAGTGCCAACAGCTCGCCCGGCGTGCAGAGGGTGAGTATCTAATTTAAGATCTTTCAGATTATGCGAGCCTGGTACCTCAAATACTTATTGAAGTTATGAGGGACATATTATACCACCCTCACATAAGTATCTGATAAACTTATGTGGCACATAGTTGATAAAAATAACGTTCTATATTCAAATTTATTTAGTACATAGTGGATTTCCAAACAAATTCCTTATTCTAGTATGGTACTACATACTTGTAAATTACAAATGCCTTCCTTATCAAATTCCTATAAGTACATTTAATGTTAGGGAAAATATTTAGTTTTAATTCCGCGACAAAAATCCAGGCTTGTTGCAGGATGCAATCCCACTCCTATGCAATCATGCATATGCACATGCAACAAGGGTACGCATGCATATGCACACATACACAAAACGGAAAAAAACATGCCACGCAGTCAAACCTATAGCCTATTTTCCGTTGAGACTGGATTTTTGTCGCGGAATTAAAACTAAATATTTTCCCTAACATTTAATGTCATGGATTTCCGCAAATTAACGCCTGATTCTATAAATACCTATATTACGAACCCTTTCCTTCTTATGCAATCCTGGTACCTGATTTAGTATCATACATTTCGGAGGCTTTAAAAATTTAAGTAATTCAAGGTTATTTTTGAGGTCCAGATATAAAAATAATATTAGAAATAGTGATCCTCAACTCGTCTCCAGCTAACTCAGTACGATGACCTTGACGAGGAGTATAGAATGTTCACGGAGAAGTACAACCACAACCATCGTCCCGTCATGCAGAACTTCGGATGCTATGTAATAACTACTTTCTTACTTATACTGTCATAGACACGGTTTAGTAATTTAGATTTCCAAATGAGATAATTTTAATTTTTTTTTCTTGCGGTTGTCAGTTATTTTTTGACAGCGTCATCTTTCCAAAATAAAATGTATGTAGCCATCTACAATATAATAAATAATTTTAATTTTTTTGGTTCTATCCAGTCATGTTGAAAGATTTCTTGAACAACATTGACCTTAAATTCTGAAAAAAGTGAAAAAATATTTGAGAAAAAGACACAATCCTCAATTGCTTTGCCAAGTTTTCCGAAGAATAAATTTAAAAGTGTTGTTGCGTTATTATTGAGAATAACTATAGCCACGTGCTTTAGCCGAGAAAAGCGCTATCAGTTTTCACTCACAAAGGGAATAATAAGACAATTATAAAAAAAAAATAACTAGCTTATATTACATTACTTACATTCTAGAACATTGCTGAAAAATTGGCTATTGTAAAGTCAAATTGTAAACTTTACGGACGATAGTTTATACACAGGAGTCACGAACCCAACTGAGCCATACCTCTCTCTCGTTCGTGCTGCACTCTCGCTTGTGGAACGCGACAATGAGTGTAATGGGACAATGACGTCATCTTTTTCGAATCTTCCGCCTATTATAGTTTTATTAGACGTATCAAAATTTTATTTTCATAGTCATATCAAATAGTTTCTTTTTCTTATTCTTCTCTGATGTTCCTTCCTTTTCCCACCTCCTTTCCGGTACAGCGTACTGACAATGAATTCTGGAGTTGGGGCCACCAAGAGTCACACAGCGGTGCCCACTACTCGCGCCGCGATAGGAAAGCTGCGGTAATATCGTCACTTGTAGAGAAAATTTGTTGAATTTAGAGTGTATTTTTATCTATTTTATGGTGGATATTATTACCTTCCTTCTCGGAATGTAGGTATGTTTTATGATATTCTAGGAGGTACGTATTTTTTATGTAAGCTAGATTTTCTAAATTTTATTATGTGATACGTCGGCAAACGATCCGACGGATTACCTGATGGTAAGCAATCAGCGCCGCCCATGAACATCTGTAACAGAGCAGTTACGAGTGCGTTTCCGAACTTTTGGGATTTGGAGATTTAGGGATTGGGGTTTTTTTTTTGTGAGGGGAAAATCATCAAATGACTTCTCTCGCCCAGGGCCGGGCAGGAGGGAGTGTCAGACTCTTACTGACTAAAAACCCCCTGTTCCTTCTCCTGCTCTGTGCCGAGGTCGCGGTGCCTCATTGCGCTTACCCCGCAACCCCGGCTGAACATCAGCCCTTTAGGGCCCCATCTGTGGTGGTCTATTGGCTCTTTGAGGCGCGCGCGGAACGCTACGCGCCGTACGCTCGGGCCTGGTTCTGGTCGGGCGGCGAGCTGCCCGTACTCGCCGACCGCAGGCCCGTGCTTACGGTGGCCGGAGATCGTCCCTTGATCCCCGACGCCCGTAGTGTCGCCAGTTGCGGCTGCTGGGGCGTGAGGAGGAGGATTGCTCCCTCACGCGGGCCGCCTCTCTCTTTGCGAGCATGACTGCTTCACAAAAGGAGGAGACGGCGTCCCAGTTCCTCTCACTCCGCACCATGGCCTCGACTAAGGCCGGGCGCGAGAGGTCGCCGCCGCCGATCACTTCCCTGAGGATACGGCGGTGCTCAGCCCAGGCAGGGCATACCGCTACCGTATGCTCCACCGTATCCTCTAGGTGGTCCTCACAATGACGACACTCGGGCGTTTCCTCCCGCTGGATCCGAAACAGGAACCTACCGAAGCTGCCGTGCCCGGTAAGCACCTGCGTCAGACGGAAGGTGAGGACGCCGTGGCGTCTCTCAAGCCACTCCTCAAAGAGGGGTCTTACCGCTGCTATGGTAGCGTGCCCGTAGGGATTGGGGTAGGAGAAGGATTCGGCCTCCGCTAACCTCACTCATACGGCGAAACACAACGCTGTGGTTGTGTTACGCAGGCTCAACCAGAGTAATACCACGGCCTCAAAGAAATTTGAGGCCGTGGTATCACTCCGAGCCGACACATTCGTGCCACACTTCACCGTGTTTAGGATGGCAGTAATATTGTAATATGTTGCCAGGCAAACGGCGTGGCATCATGCGTGAGCCTGGAAGCGTTGCGTCGCGCGGCGGGCGGGCCTAGCGCCGCCGAGCGCCGGGACGCTGAGCGACGTCGCGCCACGCTCAACAATGCGTTCCGTACTGCACCCTTCGACCATCTACTGCATATTACACAACCTAAGGTATGTTCTATTCATCATCATCAACAGCCTATAAGTGCCCAGTGCTGAGCAAAGGCCTCTTCTCACAAGAAGGTTTGAGCATTAATCACAAAGCTTGCTCAAGGCGGGTTGGCGATTTCAAACTTATAATTAGAAATTATTAAAGTTCAGATTTCCTCACGGTGTTTACCTTCACCGTATGTCAGTGGTGTCTAAATAATCATAGAAAGTACATATAACTCGGAAAAAGTCACATTGGTGCTTGCCAGGTTTGAGAAGCGGGCTCCTTAACCTCCGTGCCACCACGATCCCGTGTTTTATTAATAAAAGCTAATCTTGTATAAGTTTAATGTGAAGTAACTATGAACGAAATTCCGAAATTGCGCTATTTGAATTCACAAAAGTGTGCGTTGAATGGTACCTGATTTTTCGATGTTGAAAACAGTTGTTCTCTATGCGTGATAGATCGTCAACTATAGTCAGAATTTTAATTCGATTCCTGATTTGACATGACCTACTGTCATTTTGTAAAATAATGATACCACATACAACAGTGTAGTGATGAACACAAAAATCGATAAACAATCAGTGAATCAGTTTCAGGAAGGCATTCAAAAAATTACGGCTACCGAATGGTCTAAATGCTTATCCCATGTTGTCAAAGAAGAGGAAAAAATGAGTAAGCTAGATATGATAATGGAGAATAAAAATCATAGACACAATTCATAATAAATGTTACAGAAAGTAACAGCGATAGCGATAGCGATGACGGCGACAATTTATAAAATTTCTGTTTTATTTGACATGTTCCTTCATGATCACATTTTTTATTAATTTCACACACAATTACAAAAGAAAAGTCTCAGATCTTTAATTAATTGTTAAAACTAAATTATCGGTTCAGAAATATTTTATTTCCTGATAAACTTAGTTTACGAGAGTAAATTTATAAACGAGAGGAATCGATTCAGAAATATTCGATTTCCATATCGAATAATTTCGCAACGTCACTATTTATTACGTGTCATAACATTGCAACACTGAAATTGTCAAATCTGGAATGGAATTAAAATTCCGAGTATAGACATAAGTTAGATCACAAACCATCTTAAAAAAATTAAAGCATGTCCCAGAATGTAAAACCTCATTTCGGTGCTATTATCGTCACCTAGAGAGACCATAAGATACTGAAACGACAGTTGGTTTGACTGTGATTAGTATAGCACTCGCTATTGGATTATTTTAGAACTTGTTTTCACGTTTCACTGAACGATTGAATATGAATGAATGATAAATGTAATTACTCGAGTCATTAGTTCGGTTGTCGAGAAGATTGATTTGTATTTCATTCACGCAAATTTCGCTCGATAGCCGACCGATTGGTTCCGCGCTCCGTGATCAGATCTCGACGACAACAAAATTGCGATAAGCATGTATGGAATACATCAAAACTTGTGCACTCTGATTGCTAGTGCAATGAACTGAAGGACCTAATGGTAAGCAATCGGCGTTGACCATACACACCAATGTTAACTGACTGAAGCAGGCTGAAGGAATACTACTGCTTGGGTCACACTAACGGGAAATGCCATTAAATATCGCGATAATGGACGTTAATCGTAGATGTGATTTGATCATAAAACAAATGTTTCATTATTTAATATCATCAATTATCGCGATCATTATTGGCATTTCCCGTTAGTGTGGTCCAAGCTAGAGGTCCAAGGTGGCACTAGTTAGAGCCTTAACACTTAATGACCGCGTCCCTCCCCCAGTACGAGATCAAGGACAAGCTGGAGGAGATCTTCAAGTCAATCAGCGAGGAGCCGCTGCTGCCGGGGTCCGGCGCGTGCTCCCCCGCCGCACACAAGTCCTACTCCGGCGCCGTGCCGGCCTACACCAAGTACTTCCCCGAGCTGTTCCTCTACTGAACACACTCTACTATGTAGTACGTATTGTTGACATATTTACTCACAAGTCCTACTCCGGCGCCGTGCCGGCCTACACCAAGTACTTCCCCGAGCTGTTCCTCTACTGAACACACTCTACTATGTAGTACGTATTGTTGACATATTTACTCACAAGTCCTACTCCGGCGCCGTGCCGGCCTACACCAAGTACTTCCCCGAGCTGTTCCTCTACTGAACACACTCTACTATGTAGTACGTATTGTTGACATATTTACTCACAAGTCCTACTCCGGCGCCGTGCCGGCCTACACCAAGTACTTCCCCGAGCTGTTCCTCTACTGAACACACTCTACTATGTAGTACGTATTGTTGACATATTTACTCACAAGTCCTACTCCGGCGCCGTGCCGGCCTACACCAAGTACTTCCCCGAGCTGTTCCTCTACTGAACACACTCTACTATGTAGTACGTATTGTTGACATATTTACTCACAAGTCCTACTCCGGCGCCGTGCCGGCCTACACCAAGTACTTCCCCGAGCTGTTCCTCTACTGAACACACTCTACTATGTAGTACGTATTGTTGACATATTTACTCACAAGTCCTACTCCGGCGCCGTGCCGGCCTACACCAAGTACTTCCCCGAGCTGTTCCTCTACTGAACACACTCTACTATGTAGTACGTATTGTTGACATATTTACTCACAAGTCCTACTCCGGCGCCGTGCCGGCCTACACCAAGTACTTCCCCGAGCTGTTCCTCTACTGAACACACTCTACTATGTAGTACGTATTGTTGACATATTTACTCACAAGTCCTACTCCGGCGCCGTGCCGGCCTACACCAAGTACTTCCCCGAGCTGTTCCTCTACTGAACACACTCTACTATGTAGTACGTATTGTTGACATATTTACTCACAAGTCCTACTCCGGCGCCGTGCCGGCCTACACCAAGTACTTCCCCGAGCTGTTCCTCTACTGAACACACTCTACTATGTAGTACGTATTGTTGACATATTTACTCACAAGTCCTACTCCGGCGCCGTGCCGGCCTACACCAAGTACTTCCCCGAGCTGTTCCTCTACTGAACACACTCTACTATGTAGTACGTATTGTTGACATATTTACTCACAAGTCCTACTCCGGCGCCGTGCCGGCCTACACCAAGTACTTCCCCGAGCTGTTCCTCTACTGAACACACTCTACTATGTAGTACGTATTGTTGACATATTTACTCACAAGTCCTACTCCGGCGCCGTGCCGGCCTACACCAAGTACTTCCCCGAGCTGTTCCTCTACTGAACACACTCTACTATGTAGTACGTATTGTTGACATATTTACTCACAAGTCCTACTCCGGCGCCGTGCCGGCCTACACCAAGTACTTCCCCGAGCTGTTCCTCTACTGAACACACTCTACTATGTAGTACGTATTGTTGACATATTTACTCACAAGTCCTACTCCGGCGCCGTGCCGGCCTACACCAAGTACTTCCCCGAGCTGTTCCTCTACTGAACACACTCTACTATGTAGTACGTATTGTTGACATATTTACTCACAAGTCCTACTCCGGCGCCGTGCCGGCCTACACCAAGTACTTCCCCGAGCTGTTCCTCTACTGAACACACTCTACTATGTAGTACGTATTGTTGACATATTTACTCACAAGTCCTACTCCGGCGCCGTGCCGGCCTACACCAAGTACTTCCCCGAGCTGTTCCTCTACTGAACACACTCTACTATGTAGTACGTATTGTTGACATATTTACTCACAAGTCCTACTCCGGCGCCGTGCCGGCCTACACCAAGTACTTCCCCGAGCTGTTCCTCTACTGAACACACTCTACTATGTAGTACGTATTGTTGACATATTTACTCACAAGTCCTACTCCGGCGCCGTGCCGGCCTACACCAAGTACTTCCCCGAGCTGTTCCTCTACTGAACACACTCTACTATGTAGTACGTATTGTTGACATATTTACTCACAAGTCCTACTCCGGCGCCGTGCCGGCCTACACCAAGTACTTCCCCGAGCTGTTCCTCTACTGAACACACTCTACTATGTAGTACGTATTGTTGACATATTTACTCACAAGTCCTACTCCGGCGCCGTGCCGGCCTACACCAAGTACTTCCCCGAGCTGTTCCTCTACTGAACACACTCTACTATGTAGTACGTATTGTTGACATATTTACTCACAAGTCCTACTCCGGCGCCGTGCCGGCCTACACCAAGTACTTCCCCGAGCTGTTCCTCTACTGAACACACTCTACTATGTAGTACGTATTGTTGACATATTTACTCACAAGTCCTACTCCGGCGCCGTGCCGGCCTACACCAAGTACTTCCCCGAGCTGTTCCTCTACTGAACACACTCTACTATGTAGTACGTATTGTTGACATATTTACTCACAAGTCCTACTCCGGCGCCGTGCCGGCCTACACCAAGTACTTCCCCGAGCTGTTCCTCTACTGAACACACTCTACTATGTAGTACGTATTGTTGACATATTTACTCACAAGTCCTACTCCGGCGCCGTGCCGGCCTACACCAAGTACTTCCCCGAGCTGTTCCTCTACTGAACACACTCTACTATGTAGTACGTATTGTTGACATATTTACTCACAAGTCCTACTCCGGCGCCGTGCCGGCCTACACCAAGTACTTCCCCGAGCTGTTCCTCTACTGAACACACTCTACTATGTAGTACGTATTGTTGACATATTTACTCACAAGTCCTACTCCGGCGCCGTGCCGGCCTACACCAAGTACTTCCCCGAGCTGTTCCTCTACTGAACACACTCTACTATGTAGTACGTATTGTTGACATATTTACTCACAAGTCCTACTCCGGCGCCGTGCCGGCCTACACCAAGTACTTCCCCGAGCTGTTCCTCTACTGAACACACTCTACTATGTAGTACGTATTGTTGACATATTTACTCACAAGTCCTACTCCGGCGCCGTGCCGGCCTACACCAAGTACTTCCCCGAGCTGTTCCTCTACTGAACACACTCTACTATGTAGTACGTATTGTTGACATATTTACTCACAAGTCCTACTCCGGCGCCGTGCCGGCCTACACCAAGTACTTCCCCGAGCTGTTCCTCTACTGAACACACTCTACTATGTAGTACGTATTGTTGACATATTTACTCACAAGTCCTACTCCGGCGCCGTGCCGGCCTACACCAAGTACTTCCCCGAGCTGTTCCTCTACTGAACACACTCTACTATGTAGTACGTATTGTTGACATATTTACTCACAAGTCCTACTCCGGCGCCGTGCCGGCCTACACCAAGTACTTCCCCGAGCTGTTCCTCTACTGAACTCACTCTACTATGTAGTACGTATTGTTGACATATTTACTCACAAGTCCTACTCCGGCGCCGTGCCGGCCTACACCAAGTACTTCCCCGAGCTGTTCCTCTACTGAACACACTCTACTATGTAGTACGTATTGTTGACATATTTACTCACAAGTCCTACTCCGGCGCCGTGCCGGCCTACACCAAGTACTTCCCCGAGCTGTTCCTCTACTGAACACACTCTACTATGTAGTACGTATTGTTGACATATTTACTCACAAGTCCTACTCCGGCGCCGTGCCGGCCTACACCAAGTACTTCCCCGAGCTGTTCCTCTACTGAACACACTCTACTATGTAGTACGTATTGTTGACATATTTACTCACAAGTCCTACTCCGGCGCCGTGCCGGCCTACACCAAGTACTTCCCCGAGCTGTTCCTCTACTGAACACACTCTACTATGTAGTACGTATTGTTGACATATTTACTCACAAGTCCTACTCCGGCGCCGTGCCGGCCTACACCAAGTACTTCCCCGAGCTGTTCCTCTACTGAACACACTCTACTATGTAGTACGTATTGTTGACATATTTACTCACAAGTCCTACTCCGGCGCCGTGCCGGCCTACACCAAGTACTTCCCCGAGCTGTTCCTCTACTGAACACACTCTACTATGTAGTACGTATTGTTGACATATTTACTCACAAGTCCTACTCCGGCGCCGTGCCGGCCTACACCAAGTACTTCCCCGAGCTGTTCCTCTACTGAACACACTCTACTATGTAGTACGTATTGTTGACATATTTACTCACAAGTCCTACTCCGGCGCCGTGCCGGCCTACACCAAGTACTTCCCCGAGCTGTTCCTCTACTGAACACACTCTACTATGTAGTACGTATTGTTGACATATTTACTCACAAGTCCTACTCCGGCGCCGTGCCGGCCTACACCAAGTACTTCCCCGAGCTGTTCCTCTACTGAACACACTCTACTATGTAGTACGTATTGTTGACATATTTACTCACAAGTCCTACTCCGGCGCCGTGCCGGCCTACACCAAGTACTTCCCCGAGCTGTTCCTCTACTGAACACACTCTACTATGTAGTACGTATTGTTGACATATTTACTCACAAGTCCTACTCCGGCGCCGTGCCGGCCTACACCAAGTACTTCCCCGAGCTGTTCCTCTACTGAACACACTCTACTATGTAGTACGTATTGTTGACATATTTACTCACAAGTCCTACTCCGGCGCCGTGCCGGCCTACACCAAGTACTTCCCCGAGCTGTTCCTCTACTGAACACACTCTACTATGTAGTACGTATTGTTGACATATTTACTCACAAGTCCTACTCCGGCGCCGTGCCGGCCTACACCAAGTACTTCCCCGAGCTGTTCCTCTACTGAACACACTCTACTATGTAGTACGTATTGTTGACATATTTACTCACAAGTCCTACTCCGGCGCCGTGCCGGCCTACACCAAGTACTTCCCCGAGCTGTTCCTCTACTGAACACACTCTACTATGTAGTACGTATTGTTGACATATTTACTCACAAGTCCTACTCCGGCGCCGTGCCGGCCTACACCAAGTACTTCCCCGAGCTGTTCCTCTACTGAACACACTCTACTATGTAGTACGTATTGTTGACATATTTACTCACAAGTCCTACTCCGGCGCCGTGCCGGCCTACACCAAGTACTTCCCCGAG